TAATCTGAACAATAAAGATATTTAATTATTAAAAAAAAACATTAGCAAGCAAAAGGAATAGGACAAAAATAAAAGAGGCTGTCACAGAGAAACCAGCTTATTACAAAGGTTAGGTTTTATGGGACACTATAGGTCACTTAGCAATCTCACTGATAATGTGACCACATCTTCAATTAAAATTTTCAAAAATAGAAAATTATATGCATATATAATATATAATACAAATATTTTTTCCATCTTTAATTTCCAATGCACATTCATTCACATTTGACTGATAGTACATAATCATTCTTTTTTTTTTTTTTTGCCCAGTAAGAAGGGACTTTATTGGGGGGTGGGGAAGCCGAGACGGTGACTCCATGCAAGGCCGGAGGGAGAGGCTCGCTCCGTTTTCGGTTAGGTGGAGAAGGGCTGGACCGTTTCATTGGTTAGGTTGTTGTAGTGGTACTTGCCAATGGAAAATAACAGTCTTGTAGCAGAAACGAATCAATTTCACAAAATGAAGTTCAAGGATAGGCTGGTAGGCTTCATCTTCCCTAGCGCAGACCGCGGGTCCCTCTTCGGGACGTCTGCTTATCCCGAGAGCACGCGTGGGCTCCTCTTGTCCTGGTCCTCTGACGGGCATGTTACTTTCGGCCGGGCATTCCAGCCTGCTCTAACCTCAAGGCTTCCGCTCCTCCTGCTCCAGGCCGTTCTCGGAAGCCTTTCTGCGGGGAGGCCAGATCACCGCCAGCTTTCCATCGCCCCTGATCGCCATTAGGCTCGGCGCAGGCTCCTTGACCTCGGCAGTGCCATAGACGCTAAGCCTCTGGCGCTGCAGCTCCCGCTCGCGCTCCTGCGCCTCCCGCACCTCCTGTTCCAGCAGCGATGGGCGGCGGTGCGAGGGCCAGCACCGGGCACCTGCTCTGCAGGGCCAAATGCGACAGGCTTACTGGCTCCCGCAGCCGCTGCGGGCGAGGAGTCGCACCCACCCTCGGCCTCGAAGAAGCGTTTGAGCTCGCCCTATAATCATTCTTTTATGATAGAACATCTTTGTTATCCTGATTATACAAAAACAGATGCAAAATAATGTTAAGACTTTCTTGCCTGAAATTGCAAAACTAAGTGTGCATATATATTTAAATCCTTTTCCCATTCCATCCTTTTGACTGAAATTTATTCATATCTGTCCTTATATTTCCCTCTTGTGAAAGGCATCACTATCCAGTCACCCAGGCCAAATTTTCTCTTTCACCATACCGCACCTCTAGTTACCATATGCTAACAAGACATCTTCCTAAATCTCTCTGGAATTGATCTCTTCTCCACCAGAGTTCCCTTTTGCAAGTCCATTTCTTCATAAATCTGACATGTGAGATTTTAATTGCTGTACTGCAGTTTTCTCTTCTTCAGTCAGTGGTGACAGCTAGAAAACAAATGACAGTCTTTTTTTCCAAAACCTTTAAAAGCTTCAACTATAATTTTAACAAAAACACCTTTAAAGACTGTTAATTTAATTAACTTCTTAAAATATATATATTAACTTCATATATATATAAACTCAGAGAGGAAGGGAGAGGGAGAAACATCAATGATGAGAAAGAATCATTGATTGGTTGCCTCCAGCACATCCCCCACTGGGAATTGAGCCCACAACTGGGAATCGAACCATAACCTCCTTGTGCCCTGACTGGGAATCGAACCATAACCTCCTTGTTCATAGATCGTTGCTCAACCACTGAGCCATGCCGACTAGGCTAGTTAACTTCTTTATCACAACAATAAATGTTTCTATAAGCTTATTTCATGTATATGATACAAATTTCAGAAAGCAGGAGAAAAAATGCATTATTTGGCTACCTATATACAAAGTGCTTTGATGTTTGAGCTTCCAAAGAACTTGCAATTAAGTTGAAGAAACAGCCCTAGCTGGTTTGGTTCAGTGGATAGAGCTTCAGCCTGCGACTGAAGGGTCCTGGGTTCGATTCCAGTCAAGGGCACATGCCCAGGTTGGGGGCTCAATCCCCAGTAGGGGTCATGCAAGAGGCAGCTGATCAATGATTCTCTCTCATCATTGATGTTTCTGTCTCTCTCCCTCTCCCTTCCTCTCTGAAATCAATAAAAATATATTAAAAAAAATTTTTTTTAAAGTTGAAGAAACAAGACCAAGATGTCAAACAATTTAAGGACTATAATTGGACAGAACCAAAGAAGTCAAGTCTGAATGCTATATGTAAAAGTATTTTGATAAAGAAAGTAAACAAAAATAATCTGGAAGTTTCCTCAGAAGTAGAAACTTGGGCTAAATTTTGAAGGATAATTAAGATGCTTTTAGCTGCAAGTAAAAGAAACACATTTCAAAATGGATAAGTAATACAAGTTATTATTATTGCAAAATAAATAGAACAGACTTTAGGGCTGGTCTGTTCATCAGATAAAGACTCAGTTTTTCCCATCTCACAGCTCTGATATTCTTAATGGTAGCTTTATCTTTAAGAGGTGATGCTAGGCATCACCTTTATACAAAATGTTTATACAAAAAGTTTTCACCCTGGCTGGTTTGGCTCAGTGGATAGAGAGCATCAGCTTGCGAACTGAAGGGTCCCAGGTTCGATTCCAGTCAAGGGCACATGCCCAGGTTGCAGGCTCTATCCCCAGTAGGGGGTGTGCAGGAGGCAGCTGATCAGTGATTCTCTCTCATCATTGATATTTCTCTCTCTCCCTCTTCCTTCCTCTCTGAAATCAATAAAAATATTTAAAAAAAAAAAAAAAGAAAGAAAAGTTTTCTCTTGCCAAGGCTCTCTCATTAGTGAGGAAACTCTTCCTCATTTCCCACTTCCAGACTCCCTCTTCACATGTCAGTTGGGTTACAAACCCATTCCTGAATTAAGTTTACTTAAAGGAAAATCCATTCCCATTGCCAATCAGGCACACACTGAAGCTAAGGATAGTGCCAGCTTTATTTACCTCAGGCATGAGGCTGTGAGGGACAGCACACATCTCAAGAAAATCAGTACTCTGTAAGGCAGGAAGGAAGAACATAGATGCTGAGAAACAACCAGCGAACAGTATGCAACATGTCAATTGAAAGCATTACCTCCAGGTCTGTTTGCTTTTGTAGTTCTTGTATCATGGTCATAGTCTTATTGAAAGTAGCACAAATGCGGCTCTTAATCTCTTTCTGCTCATCAGCAATTGGCTTAAAGCGTGCCTGCAAAGTTTGATATCGGGACTTTATTGCTGACAATTCCTGTAAGAGGGTAACTGGATTTTTCTATATCAGGAAAAAAATTAATATATATTAAATTGTGGAAGTGAAAAATTAAGCTTCTTTTAATAATTAAAATTTATGCAACACATTTTACCGTCCATTTAATCAAACACTGTATTTTATTATACAACTGTGCGACAAGGATGGAAAAGGGGAAGAAAGAAGTAAGACCTAGATTCTATTCTAAAGAAATTTAAAGCCTAGGTGCAGAAGTACAACATAGGGAATATAGTCAATAATAGTGTAATAATAGTGTAACCCGTATGGTGTCAGGTGGGTACTAGAATTAACGGGGGGAATCACTTCGTAAATTATATAATTGTCTAATCACTATGCTATACACTTGAAACTAATATAAAATAATACTGAAATATCAACTATAGTAAAAAAATAAATTAAAAAAAAATAAAGCCTATGTACAGAAATAGCTCACAAAAAAAGCAACATTAAACAGCAAATAAGGTCACTTTAGATACATATTTGATGCATAGTTCACAACAATTAATTACATAATATTTCTAAAATACAATTCTAAATACTATTCAGAAGATGATTAAAGGAACTATATTAATTTGTCATTAAGGAATAAGACAACTTGAAGCCACTTATAAATTCTTAAACATACTGCCATGAGGCTTAAGTATGTATAAATACTAATTCATTGATTTCACTATATAAAATTCATGTCAGCTCAAGCAACTGTATTTATAAAGGGTGTCCCAAAATTCACGCAAGATTTGAATTTAATGGTGCTCGCTATCGCGACATGATAATCCAGTTTTTTGTGCCTAAATTGCAAGATATGGATGTGGACGACATGTGGTTTCAACAAGACAGTGCCACATGCCATACAGCCCGAGAAACAATTCAATTACTGCATGAGTCATTTCCTGGTCGTGTAATTTCCCGTTTTGGTGATCAGAATTGGCCGCCCAGATCATGCGATTTAAAGCCATTGGACTTTTTTCTTTGGGGTTTTTTGAAGTCTAAGGTTTATGCCAACAAGCCCACGACCACCCACACTTTGAAGGAGGAAATTGAGCGCTGTATCAAGGAAATTCAGCCACATTTATGCAAAACGGTCATGGAAAATTTCAACAAAAGAGTGCGTATGTGCCAGCAAAGCTGTGGAGGCCATTTACCCGATATGCTATTCCATACATAACCCTATACTGTATACTTTATGAATTAATAAAAAATTTACAATTTTTAATTATAAACCTGTGTTTTCTATCAAAATTACTTCTTGCGTGAATTTTGGGACACCCTTACATTACATTGGTTTTTCAAATTCTTTTTAAAATATAGCCACTATTCCATAAAAGACATTTTTTACTGTATTTTTCCAGTTTTTCTACTGGAGATCTTTTATCCAATACAATGTCCAGTATCTAGAAACATGGTAGAAAATCTACCACTAAGGGTGAGAGGGGGTGTATAATGAGTAGATACTCCTAAAGGCATCTTAATATATATTTGATGCTATTTATTATTTCTTTGACCATATCAAATATACTAAGTATTCTTTTTTTCATGGTGTCTATCTTCTGTTCCTTTCCTACTTGTAATGGCCATGCCATAGGTCTTGATCACTCTCTGCAGAATTATTTTATCAGTCTTTTTTTCTTGTAGTATATTTTCTATTTATTAAACTTTTATACAGTCGTTCGGTCGCAACAGTCACTTAGGCTTTTATATAGATAGATAGACTGTTCTAGAGGTATCTATATTCTCTCACAATTTCAAAGGCTTCCACAATGGTTCGTATCTCCTGACTCTAATCCTTTTATAAGGGTTAAAAAAAATAAAATAGCCACAAATTTCCTTGACCATGGGTACAATAATATGCTGTGACCAAGTTTCCAACATAAAAATATTTTAAGATTCTATGAGTTTAGTACTTAATTCTGTAATTATTATAATCACTACTATTAGAAATACTATCAGAAAATCTTTTGATAAAATATTCTGTTGAAAAGACATTGATTTTGCAGATTACCTCGCCTGCTGAATCAGGATGATTAGTCTTGATTTCATATTCCAGCCTGTATTGAATGTAATCCAGATCAGAATCAGCTTTCTGGAACTAAAAATCAGCATAAATCATTATTCTGTGAACCAAAAGTCATATTAATAAACATGATCCTGCAACTATTCTTTCTTTTCTCTTTATATTTTTTTAGTATTTTAATAATGTGATATACAACTCATTTTGAAAATATGGAAATAAAAAGGTATGAAAAAACCCTAAATGGTCTATAATAACCAGGCTATATTAAAAATTTCTTAAACTAGTTAACATTTTGAAAATCATTTCTCTCTGCATGTGTCTTAGATTTTGAGCCAAAATTAAAATACCAAGAAGCCACCACCATCATATATTAATACAGTAACTAACAATGTCTTCAAGAACTCCCTAGGGTCACTGACACCCTCATCAGTTAGGCAGTGGTTTTTCCTCTCTCATAGGAAATGAGGTTTCAAGTTAAAACACAGAACAAATTTATTTTCAGGGATTCTCATAGTTTCCATTATCTGCAACCCTATTAACCAAAAAACTACAAATTAATGCTACAAAGACCAAAATTAGAGAGCTTAAAGTCACAAATTATACAAGGAAAACTACATACTAGCATGCCACAAAAGTAGCCGTCTGAATAGACCCAATTTATTGAACGTAGGTCCTAGGATAGAACCATCATCTGTAGTACACCTCTCAGGGAAAAAAAAAAGGGAAAGCTACCACAGACCTAAATATGTGTATGTACATATAAAAAAGCTGGAAAGGATATCTAACAGAAAAAGTAGTTTAGTGCTCGCTTCAGCAGCACATATACTAAAACTAGGAGCCAAGAGCATGATTCGAAATCGCACGGCGCAGCCCACCCTCGAGTCACTGGTCCAGCCCTGCCTCACTCCCCGGGCCCAGCAGCAGCCGCAGCCGCTGCCAGTCTGGCCCTGACTCCCTCTCCGGCCCATCAGACCCTCCCCTGAAGCTGCACGCGCAAACTCCTCCTGTCTGGTAGACCCATTATGGTGTCCTGGTTAATTAGCATATTTCTCTATTATATATACAGATTGGAACAATACAAAGAAGATTAGCATGGCCCCGGCACAAAGATGACAAGCAAATTCATGAATGATTCCATATTTTAAAAAAAGAAAAAGTGGTTTATATCTGAATGTGTTTAATTTATAAATTATTCTTAACTTTTCGAAATTCCACATCTTTTATATTATTTTAAAGCAGGTACTGCCTTGAATTTATCAAGGAAACATCCATGAGTTTACTATGGAAGGCAAAACATGATTTCCACAGGGAAATTGCCTAGCCTACAGTGTAGGAGACTGCTTTGGGGATAGAGTTTGGACCTTATTATACACTTAAGCTCTGAACTAAAGATTGGTTCTTAAAATTTTGAACCCTTAGTGGAAAGAGTAAAAGCCAAAAAAACCCACTGTAAAAGTAGTTCTCAGGTCTAATGAGAAACAGTCTACAGATATTTCATTACACAAAAGGTAGATTAAGGCCTCTACTTTGGAATATAAAGTAAGATAAAATGGCTCTCAGAAGTTCAAATGCTTCTAAGATCAGGAACGGTCATCACTGAACAAAATTTCAGAAAGAGATATACTAAAATTTCCATCACCAATTGCTCTCATCATTGACCTAAATTTGAATGGAAAATTTTGCAACTACCAAAGTTCTATCTTTATAACCAAAAATTTTTGGAGTGGAAATAAAAGGAGAGAGAAAGCCAGTTTTTGCTTTTAAATTTTTTCCAAAAATCTCTTAACAGCAAAGGAGTTGCTATGAGCTTAAAAAACAAACAAACAAACAAACAAAAAATGTAGACACTGTTAATTTTAAAAAATTTTAAAGTGTTTTCCAAAAAATAGAGGCTTTTTGTAATCTTTGTCCTACCCTATATAAGCAGCTGGCTTATGGGGGGCTGCAGAGCAGATTTTTGTGGATGACCTGCTGCTCTCCCATACTGCCGGCAGTATTGGAATAAATGCTCATATATGATTCAACCCTGTCTCTGCGCTTAATTGGCTCAAGTAGTGGCAGGCAGCAGGGACCCATTGATTGTTCGGTTACAAGGGCACATGCCTGGATCCCCAGTGTGGGGCATGCAGGAGGCAGCTGATCAATGATTCTCTTTCATCATTGATGTTTCTATCTCTCTCCCTCTCCCTTCCTCTCTGAAATCAATAAAAAATATATATATATTTTAAAAATCCAAAAAACAAAAAGAGGCTTTTCATGTCTTATATACTGGTACTTGTTAGATTAGATGCCAAAAGTAAATTAATTGATAATAAGACTTTATAAGCATACTAATAATTACTATATATGTATAGGTATGTATAAAGAAATTACTGCTGGCATAATTTCCCATATTAGAATATGTAGGGGATTATCTTTTCCTTTATATAAACAGAGTGCACAAACCTATATAACATGTGGATGGAGAGGATGGGGAGGGGGATAGAGGAGAGGGCAAATCAAATTAAACAAAGGCTCTAAGCATTCAAGTACTGAATTGGTTTAATTACTGAAATAGACCACAATTTCATAGCTTTATATATAACACAAGGTTTTACATGACATTCTAAAGCATAATTTTAAATAAAAGTTTTTAAAACAAATTACCACAGAATTCTTATCATTATGGCATTTGTGGCTTTAGGGTTACTTTAAAACAATCTCTAATCTGGAAGCCCTGAATTGTTTATGAACCAGAAACTCTTAGGCCTATGAGGAGTTCTTTAAAATTATTTTATTGATTGATTTTATCAGAAACTCTTTAGAGAGATTTGTTATTCCACTTATTTATGCATTCACTGATTGATGCTTGTATGTTTCTTGACCGGGGATCGAACCCACATCCTTGGCATATCAGGACAATGCTCAACCAAATGAACTACCTAGCCAGGACCAGGACCTATGTGTTTTTTGTTTTGTTTTTTAAATATATATGCATATGTATTTATTTCAGAGAGGAAAGGAGAGGGAGACAGAAACATAAATGATGATAGAGAATCACTGATGGGCTGTCTCCTGCATGCCCCTCACCGGGGGATGGAGCCTGCAATCTGGGCATGTGCCCTGACCAGGAATGAACCATGACCTCCTGGTTCATAGCTTGACACTCAACCACTGAGCCACAACGGTTGGGCCCTGTGTGTGTGTTTTTAACTCAACATTTTAGTTCTGCTTAAAGTTTAATTAGCATAATCCCATAGTCCATTTAACAATGTCTTCTTGTTAAGAGAGTAGTTTCAGCTATGACTTCCTGTAATACCTGGAGGTCCACAATGTGTTAAAATCCATCAAACATGCGCTAGCTGGTTTGGCTCAGTGGATAGAGCATCAGACTGCGGACCGAAGGGTCCCAAGTTCGATTCCAGTCAAGGGCAAATGCCTGGGTTGTGGGCTCGATCCCCAGTTGGGGGTGTGCAGGAGGCAGCCAATCAATGATTCTCTCTCATCATTGATGTTTCTATCTCTCCCTCTTCCTTCCTCTCTGAAATCAATAAAAATATATTTAAAAATAAAATAAAATAAAATCCATCAAATAGTGACAAAAAGAAGTGGTTCCTGCTTTTGAGTAACTTATAGATTAATAAGAAATGGCAGAGTGTGCTTCCAATCAATGGTTTGATAGAATCAGCTAAATTTTCATTCACTTTGCAAGCCAATTTTTAAACACAGGTATCAGTAAGAATTAAATTATATAAATTTACAAAGCAATAAATTTATTGAAAACATCTACTCAAAAATCATAACTTCAGTTATTTTATTATATTTTACTATTATCTATGCTCTTGAGGTCTATCATATCTGTATAGTGGAAAATACATTCAATAACATCATGGTGGAAGCTTAAAATTGGTCAGGATGGAACTATTTACACCAGGAAAATTGGCAAATGCTAAAAGTCTGGGCTTTCTACTTTCAAAAGGTTGTTTTTGTGTTTTTTTTAATTCTCATGCCCTTTTTAAGTAATGTGTACACAGTTCCAGTGGAAAATCCTTGAGAAAATAAATAGAATTATAAACAGACTTTAAAACACAGAAAACCCAAAAAAATTAAAAGTAGAATTACCATATGATCCAGCATTTATATTTCTAGGTATATACTCAAAAGAATTGAAAGCAGGGATACAGATATTTCTATACTTGTTTATAAAAACATTACTCATAATAGACAAAAGGTGGAAGCAACTCAAGTGTCCATTAATAGATGAAGAGACAAAATGTGGCACATAAATACAACGGGGCATGCAGGAAGCAACTGATTAATCATTCTCTCTCATCACTGATGCTTCTATCTCCCTCTCCCTCTCCCTTCCTCTCTGAAATCAATAAAAATATATTTTAAAAATAAAAAAAGTTTATCTAAATTAATGGGAAAAAAAATTGAAAGAGGCCTCAGGGAATGAAATGAAGTTTAAATGTCTGAGCAGGAACTATCTAGGAAAGGTTTTTAAACTACTAAAGCCAGTATTCCTTGTCATCCTGAATCCAAACTAGGAGATAAATTAAACCACTAAAGAAATCTGTTTTCCTCAAGATTTTAGTTCTATCTCTGAGTAGAATGTACCTTTTCCTTTGTTAACGGGGATTTCTAAGTCTTCATAATAAATATGGTATCTGTATATATAAAAGGCTAAGTGACCAACCGTACTTCTGTCTGACCATCTGACCGACCAGCTGGTACATATGATGCACACTGGCAATTTAAAAATAAACGTTGACTTGCACATGCGCAAAACATATAAAGCTCTTGCTGGCACCAATCGCACCTGTGTGTTTTGATCTGTCATTGTTGATAGTGAATTTGGTTGACACTTCTATTACACAGAAAGGGTGAACAGCGATATTAAAGTATTTTTTCTAATTAATTTCCTTTCAATGTTCACGAATCTGTGCACCGAGCCACTACTTATATAATAAAGGAGAAATCTTTATTTATAAAGTTAACTTCTACCCCCTCCCATTCATCCAATGTAAACATTTATTTGCCTCTAGTGTCTATATGCTGGGCTAACAGACTTTTATATATGAGACAAATACTAC